GCAACACGTCACATTCCTTCCCTCGCTGCGGTTGCAAGCCTTTCCCACCACGTCCTCCCCTTCTCCCCTGCGCCGCGCCCCCCGCCCCCGTCCTTCTGTGTATTTCTCCTTCGGTGCTCTGTGGAGGAAAACGCACACATGCCTAACGCTTTGGTCACCCCTTCTGCCTCCAGGTGCAGCTGCCCCCTCAGAAGGAAGTGATCACATCAGATGAGCTCATGGCCCACCTTGGTGAGTGACTGGGCCTTGGAGAGGAATTACACAGAAGGTTCAAGGGCTTACACTTTCCACTCAGCCAGAAATCCAGAATATTGCGGGACTTCCCATTTGGGGCTCTGATGTGGCAAGGAGGGTGAAGGTCTACAGGGCTTCTCTGCAAGACTGGGGAATGAAAAGCAAAAATCAAGGTATCAGGAGTCCAGGATTATAACCCTACTTCTGCCCCGAGCTTTCAGTGTGCCCTTGGGTGGGCCCTTCACCTTTGTGGGTCTCTTTCTTCCTCTGAGAAGTGAAAGGTCTGGATTAGATTCTAAGGCTCTTTCCAGCTCTGAAAGTCTGTGGTCTGTGACCATTCTCCAGGAGAAGAGGAAGCAGCTTTTGGGACAACTGGGGAAAACTGATGAGGGATCCTGTCTTGCAGGAGACTGCCTCCTGTCCATCAAGCCCCAGGAGAAGTCAGAGGGACTTCAGCTTAATTTTCAGCAGGTAAGGCAAAGGTCTGGGGGCATGGGAGATGGCAGGTTTGTAAGGGGAGACCCAGGCTATGAAGAGAAGCCTTTCTTCTGCTTCTCAGGAAGGCCCCTTGAACTGTGATTTCTTTCTGCAGGAGGAGGAGGGTATGGTATAGCTCTGTCCTAGAAGAGATGTTCTTTTATATAAGATAAAGAAGGGTTGGGGCAAGGGAGGAATGGAATGGCCTGTAAGAGAACCAGGGAAGAAAAGCAACAGGATTAATTTTTTTTATTTCTGGAGCTAGGAGTCAGGGGAGGGGAGGCTAGAGTAACCATCGTTTTCCTCTTCCCCGTCCCAGCTTTACTGGGATATAGCTGACGTATAAGATTGTGTAAGTTGACGATGTATAACGCGTTGATGTGATATAGGCATCATTTTCTCTTCCAACCCCAGAATGTGGACGATGCAATGACAGTGGTGCCTAAACTGGCCACGGGTCTGGATGTCAACGTGCGATTCACGGGGGTCTCTGATTTTGAGTATACTCCTGAGTGCAGTATCTTTGACCTCCTAGGCATACCTCTGTACCATGGCTGGCTGGTTGATCCGCAGGTGAGGGTGGGATGGCCCAAATGAGACTCTCATCCAGCTCAGACTGACAGACAAGCAAGGTGTTGTGGGGTGGGTGTTAGGGACTTAGGAATTCGATTGGCCTGGGAAGGGAATAGGCATTAGAGGCTGGACCCAGTGCAGAATTCCTTGAATTTTAACCTTTTTGAGGGGCAGATATGGGCAAAACCAAATGCAAATAGGTCAGTTCTTCAGAAATGCAGTTTCAGGAACCTTTGGTTATAGGGTTGCAATCCTGTGGGCATGCTTCATTTCCTTCCTAAAAAGTTCTTCATTGTTTTGGCACCACCCCACCCCACTGCCCATGCAGAGTCCCGAGGCCGTGAGCGCAGTTGGGAAACTGAGTTACAACCAGCTGGTGGAGAAGATCATCACCTGCAAGCACTCTAGTGACACCAACCTTGTGACAGAAGGTGGTAGAGCCCTGCTTTCTCTTCTGGGGGTCTTATGTGGAGGGAATGATGGCTACCTCAGTGTATTGTTTACCGTCTATCTCCCCCCACCACATCCCCCTAGAATGGAAACCCCATGAGAGAGAGTTGGGGGAATTGGCTGTTGCGTTCAGGACCTAGGGCGGTGCCTGGCGCAAGGCGGCTGCTCAGTAACTATTTGTTGGATGAATGAATACAGCCAGGCTTCAAGGGATCTCAGAAGGTGGGACCATCCTTAGGGCTTCTGACAGGGACTCTCTGGGTGATCCTTCTTCCCACTGTGGACTTTGGATTGAAGCCAAGCCCCTTGTGCGCCATTTTCTGCCTTCCGACAGGCCTGATCGCAGAGCAGTTCCTGGAGAGCACTGCAGCCCAGCTGACTTACCACGGGCTGTGTGAGCTAACAGCAGCTGCCAAGGAGGGTGAACTTAGCGTCTTTTTCCGAAACAACCACTTTAGCACCATGACTAAGCACAAGGTGATGAGGCTTTGAAGATGGGGGTGGGGCGGGTGGGGTGCTGTCACTTCCTCGCGGTTTTTTCTTCCGGGTCAGTGTGTCCGACAGGATAGGGTAGATTAAGTTCAGGTACCAGATGACTTCGAGAATCCCTGTGCTTTACCACAGCCAAGGTTTATTTCTCCTGCTGGATGGCCACTGTGGATTGGCTGCCATTCTGTCCCACACTGTCTTGGCTCTGGGACCCAGGCTGACAACACGGCCTTCATCTGGAATGTGGGAGGGAAAAGAGAGAGAGGGACGCCATGCACCCACTTTTAATGCTTCTGCCTAGAGATGACACGTGTCATTTCTGCCACCTTCTCACTGGCCAGAGCAAGCCGTACGGAATCAGCCTGCCCTAAGTGAGACAGGAGAGTAAAGTCCTCTCCCAGGAAGGGAATGGAATTAAATGGAAGAAGGAAAGGTCTTTGGCTCTCCAAGGATTTATCCTCAGAGCCATCAGGCCAGCCCCGAGGCCCACGGGAAGTAGGGTAGGGAACAGCGTCTTGTGTGGGACCCCAGCCCCGAGGACTCACGCTTGACCACAGTGACTGCCCTACTCACACCCAGCCGACCGTAGCGCAGAAGCCCGGCCTTCTCCCCATGGCCACACATCTGCGGGCTGCGAGTGCTCACGCTGACTTGCCCTCGCTAGCACACCAGGCCGTTCAGACGGTCTCTGCATCTCAGCCGAAGCGCCTCTGGGTCCGCCATCCCGCCGACGAACTTCGTCCTCTTCTCTGCAGGGTCACTTGTACCTACTGGTCACCGACCAGGGCTTTCTGCAGGAGGAGCAGGTGGTGTGGGAGAGCCTGCACAACGTCGATGGAGACAGCTGCTTCTGCGACTCGGACTTCCACCTGAGTCATTCCCTCGGCAAGGGGCCTGGAGCAGGAGGTGCGAGGGGCTCCCCTGAAAAGCGGCGGCAGGTAGACCAGGTGTGTGGGCTCTTTGGGAAGGGTGCGGAGAGCCCATGTGCTAACGAGCTCTTTGCCGTAGGCGAGTGACATGCATTTCCTCATGTAGACATCATGACCCACGACGCCCCCTTACTGCCACCTCCGGGCCACCTCCAAGCCTGGAGTGTGTTCTCAGTCACCACCAAGTGTACTTGGCTGTGTGTTTTGCTCTGGAGGAGGAGCTGGTGAATTTGAAGGAGAAGAAAAAACGGGTTTGGAAACCTAGAGCCAGCCTGAATGTGCCCCAGGCCCCGGCGACCTCACTGCTCCTGATCTCTCGGCCCCTCTCTAGGACTACCTGATCGCCTTGTCCCTGCAGCACCAGCCGCAGGACACGTCGGGTCTTAGCGACTTGGAGCTGGCCCGGCAGCTTCAGCAGGAGGAGTACCGGCAGCACCAAGCAGCCCCCACCGCTCCAGTGCGGGCCTCGCCCCAGGTGAGCGGCTCACCGCCCTGCCCGCCCTGCCCGCCCTGCCCACAGGCCCTGAGCTCCGCCCTGCTCCTCCTCGTGATTCCTGCCCTCGTCTCTTCAAGGTGCTCCTTTCCCCTCGGTCCCATCTTCTCTCCCCTTCCCGCCGCCCCTCCTGCTCCTGCCCCCACGTCCTTCTAGAACCTCTGTCCTTGTGCTCTTCCGGGCTGACGAGTGACCCACTGTTAAATCCCATACAGGGGAGAGGAGCGACGTCTGGACGCCCAGTCGGGGAGCGTCGGCAGAGGCCGAAACAAGAGTCAGACTGTGTCCTCCTGTAGCTTTGCCCAGTGCTGGGGCTGCGCTCCCTCTTTCGGAGGTGATGGCTATTCTGCTTACTCCCCCAGCTCAACCCCTGAGATATGCAGGGTAACTTATTTATGGACCGTGGGGGATCAGAGCAGGCAGTAAATGCCAAGGTCAGATTCGGTAACATCCTGCCCTCGTGTGCTGCCACCTTCTCTGCCTCCGGTCGTCCAGGGCAACATTGGGGTTGGTGGGGTGAGGATTTCTGGTTCCCAGCGCCCCTGCCTCAGAACAGTCACACTCATATACGGACTCAAGCTCCAGGGTGAGGTCCCTGTCTAGAATGCCTCTCCCCTACTTCCACCCCCAACTGGCTGGGCCCATCCTGGCCATCCTGCTGACCTGTCTCCAGTCGTTTCAGGGTTTGGTTTGGGTTTCTATCTCCATTATTTGTAATGGCTTTCCTAGGGGTTTGGAAATAAAACTCCTTTCCTGAGATCTGTTGTTTGCCTTGCTCTGCAGCACTTGGGGTTCAGTATTTGCCGCAATTAGGGAACGCAAAGAGGTGGGGGAGGTTATAGAGGCCCAGAGGGTGGCTTTGCTTGTCATTTCTAATAGGGCCAGCAGGGGGGACCAAAGCCTGCTTATTTTCTTTTCTGTCTTTATTAGTTTCTATAGGTCTTGGATGGGAATGGTAATCCAATTTGGGAAGTGGGTTTTCAAGTCCCTGCTTTGGACAGATGCGATTTGGGGGTTTTGCTCCTTGCTAACCTAAGACTTCCCAGGCAGGGGAGGGCAGCTTGATCAGATGGTCCTTTGCTGCCTCTATTTCTGACCTCATTCCGGCTCCTGTTCCTCAGTTACTTTGCCTGAAATTTCCTGGGGAAGAGAGAATAATTAGGGGAGGGGGCGGGGAGCCTCGAGGGGGGTGTTTGTTGCAGCCCTAGAGCCTCAAACAGGATCCCTGTTGAATATCCAAGTGCATATCAAAGGCACCTCCAACTTCAAGGTCTCCTCCAGCCCATGTCCTGCTCCACCCAAACTTCAATCAGGGAACACAAACAACAGTGAAGTTTGCCAAAAGAATTCAAGAATCAGTGAGATGTTTTGGCCAGGGTATGGGAAGGATGAGTAGGGCAGAAACCATCAAAGAGCTGTCTATACCCAAGACAGAGATAGGGGACCCAGGTGAGGCATCACTTTGAGGTGAGGAAATCAAGGGATTCAAAAGAGACTTCAAATTCTAGCCTCAACAAGAAGCTGGAGCATGGGTGCTCAGTGAGGGGTTATCCTATTTGGAGGTCCAGCTGATTTCCTGCAGGATCAGCCAAACATGGGGATCGTAGATCCTTGGATATCATGGTGTGGTAGGGAGGGCAGGAGGGCAGGGAGGCCTCAAATGTCCTCGGCCCTGCACAGGGCTAGTAGAGCTGACCGGCAGTCCCCTTTCACTGCCTCCTGCAGACAAAGAGAGTCAAGTGTTAGACCCCACTACCACCATGGCCCAGGCATTCTGTTTCCTCCCTTGTGCTGGTCCAGAACTGTCTGATGTCAAGAGTTGTGTACAAAATTGACCAAAGACTCATGAGTTCTCCAGGGAGGGCAGAGTGGAGGTAAGGGGTGAAGCTCTGGGGCTCCAGGTTAAAAACTAGCCAAGTCTCACCTGGAGAGAAGAGTAGAGGGACTTGCCAAATTTCTTTTTGAACTCAGCTCGGATGCTTAGAAGGTCAGTCTCACTTCGAGAGATAAGGATGCGCATCAGGACTTGGTAATTGGGCTTGATGTCCTGTTTTAGGGAGAAACAGAAGGGGGAGAGGGTGGTAGTAAGATTCTCACAGAGTAGAGACTGGACAGCATGGTAAATTACTCTAGAAAGGGGAAGCGAGGTGTGAGTCCAGGGAAAAGAGAAGTGTACGTTATCTGAGGAAAATGTATCCCTGTCCACCCTCATGGAAGGTGATACAGCAGGAAAGATCAGTCTTTGTGGGAGCAGCTGGATAATTCTCGTTCTTGCCAAATGTCTGTCTAGGCCATGCCACTAGCTTAGAGCCTCATTCCTCAAGATCTCAGTGGTGGGCAGCTCCAAAGGCAGTTCCTCCAAAAAGGATAGGAAAGACTTGCTACCTACAAAGACTTCCAGCATGAAAGCCAAGAAGTTCTCAACTTCCAAGTTAGTGAATGTCCAAGAAAGATGTACCCAGCCTATCCCCAAATTGAGTTGATGGGGTTCTGAGAGGGAGCAGGGTCAGGTGGCTTTTGGTTCTGAGCCTGACCTACCAGGGCCACCTCACATCCCCATCTGTATACATCAGTTTCTCCTGGTTGGGTCCCTGGGTCCAGCATCACTGTCTTCCTCCTAAGCCTGTACCAAGCCTCCTGCCTTTTGGTTAAGGAGGGTAATGGAGGATTCGGTTTAGAAATAATAGAGGTACAGGGGCGCCTGGGTGGCTCAGTTGGTTAAGCGACTGCCTTCGGCTCAGGTCATGATCCCGGAGTCTCAGGATCGAGTCCCGCATCGGGCTCCCTGCTCGGCAGGGAGTCTGCTTCTCCCTCTGACCCTCTTCCCTCTCGTGCTCTCTATCTCTCATTCTCTCTCTCTCAAATAAATAAAATCTTTTAAAAAAAAGAAAAAATAATAGAGGTACAATACGTGAATTATAATTGGTTATATCAAATCATGAATTTTAACTGATTATAATAAATGTGTTAGTTATCACGAGAGATTTCTAAATAAAAACGTTGGTTGCAAAAATCCTATTTATGTCATGGGCTGTATACCGGCGTGGTCCCAATTTCCTAATAGCTTCTTTCCCGGCGTTTCCTATTAACTTGACTCACGAGACCCTTCCCAGAGCTGCCTGATACCCACACTTAACGGTGTCTACACAGATCATAAGTTCCCGTGAGGGAGAAAAAAAGAAAATGAGGACTTAACAACAGGATGCCATATTTCATTTGGACTCATTACCTCATGGTCAGTGCTGATAGCTGCTTTATCTTAAATTTTATGTATCATCAATTTTGTATTGTGATAAAGATTGTTGATCGCTCCCCAGTATCCATTCTTCCCCTTCTTCCGACTCTTATTACTCCAAAGTTGTAGAATCGGGGCAAGGTACTCATTAATTGAATATTCTGGAACATTGATGCACAAGCACCCTGTCTAGCAAACCGACATTAAACATAATTCTTGCCTTGTTACTTGAGAATGTACTTGGCATCTCATACTTCCCCAGGACCTTTTAATGAACATTCATTGTGTGGTTCAGATTGGTCCCAATTTTCCTGAATTAGCCTTCACTGAAGGTCATTTTTCTGAATAAATATTTGTCACAATCTATGTTTTCACATATTTCTCATAAGAGAATTAAGAAGCATATGATTTTTTCCTTTTTTAAAAAACTTTTCAGAAAAATAGGCCTATATTATTTTGTGACTCCTACTTCTAAGGATAAACCTGGCATTTACATCTAAGAGCATGGGTCCCACAATCCAAATACATTATAATCATTTACTGCTGGGATACAAGTTTGTCTATGACCGGAATTTAGACAGATAACCAGAACTCTTTGAATCAGTCTTAGTGTTGGCTCAGTGTAATAGTGCAGATTTTTCCTGGGTAAGTAAAATATTAATCTACTGTCAAAATGGAAATCTCCATTGATGATAAAATAAGTGCATATATGTGCTGTCTTGTGAATAGCTGTCAACAAGGCATGATGATTTCTCATTCAGTATACAAGAAGCTATGCCGTCTACCAAAATGACAACTCCTTTCATCTTCTCAAAAATTGGGGTGAGTTTTTTATTTATAGGTTTTGGGGGACCCTTGCACTAATAGGAGACCTAGCTCAATGAGTAGAACGACTGGATTCTGTTTATGAAATTACTCAAACCAACATCACCAATTGAAGTGTGGACAATAGGGAACAAGGTCCGACCAGCGTGGAGAAAGGTGGTCCTCGGGGCTAGAACTCTAATGGTGTAGTTTATAGTATAGACCAACGCCTATTTGAGTTGACGCATGGCAGTTAAATGTCTTATAAGACCATTATGTGTGTGTGGTTTTTAATTATTTTTAAATTCCAACATAAATAACATACAATGTTATATATTGTCCATTATGTGTTTTACAGGAAGCCTGTATGATTTATTAGCTGTATGTGACCTTGGGCAAAGAACTTAACTTCTCTGTACCTCAGTGTTTTCATCTATAAAGCAGATGGAGGGTGGCCATGGAGATTAACTGAAATGTGTGTAACAAGCCCAGCATAGGCCCTGGGACACATTGAGAGCACCCAAGAAATGTTGGTTCTTGTCATCACCATCATTATTCTGGTGACAACTGAAATTGGACATGATGCTCTCTTACAGAGCAAATTCATATCTATATTTGGCCACCTAGACATCAATTAGGCCAAAATTTTGGCTTCAGTGCCCTTTTGAGTCAACTCATTTAGCTTTAACCGGAGCTAGTGCCTCTATTAGTCACAAGACAGTTTGCAAACCTAGGAAAAGAGAGCTACTATATGTTTATAAAGTAAATATGAGGTTGTTACATTAGCAACAGTGTGAAACTTCCTCTCTCTTGCCCAGAAGATGTCCCCCCTCAGTTTTTGTTCCAAAGGGAGGGAAAAGAAGCGTCCCTCTCACCTGGAGGGCTTGATGAAGTTTATCAGCAAAGTAGAGCGGTGTGCTCCTGATCACCGAGGCTGCAGGCAGAGAGGGAGAGATGGAGAGAGCCAGCTCCCACGCTAGGCGAGAGCCCTACCCCGCATGTGCTGAGCAGGCCCTACCTAGGCTGAGCAGAGCTGCCTGGGCATCTCCGTGGAAAAGGTGATGGACAGTCTTCTCCAGCTCGTGCCCAGTATACCGCTGGTACAGATCGAACACTGTGGGGGGGGGGTGTGTGGGAGGTAGTTAGAAAGATAAATGGGAGCAGGGGTTAATTATCACAGAGAAGGATGAGCCCTCCCCAACCTCCTCAGCCAAAACTCATCATTAGCGTAAGCGGGGAAGACAAGAAGTCTTGCGTGTACCTCGGACGAGGTGTTCAGGATTTCGCTGGGTGAAGATTAGGACCCACGTGCCCTCTGTGCTGGGCCCTTCAGTTTGTTTTAATGCCTGGGAGGGAGGAGTAAACGGGGATAATTGGTTCGGGGTAGGGGAGCCACGGTTGTGATGTTCCCAGAATCTGTCATCATGATGATGGAAATGGGATTTGGAGTGGAAAAGCTTAATTGAACCTGTGAAGTGGTTGCCTTTATTTATGGTTAAAACAAACAAACAAAAAGGGAATAGGGCTAAGAGAGGGACTCTGTCCTCACAGCTCGATTCCCCAATTTGGGGAAATCCTGGCACTCAAGGAATTAATCTCCAAGGGAAGGTCTGAGGAGGGTTACCCCACCCAAATGCCCGTGAGAGGAGAATGTGTCGGTTGATGAGCTCACTTCCTGTGAGTTCAGGAACCAGAGGTTAAACGAGTGAAAAGGCTTCAGATGGTCACTACCTGAAACTTCATGTCCTCACCTGTCACTGAGGACTCCCCCAAGGCAAGGAGAGATTTGCAGGACAAGTGGGGACACTTGTCATTGGCTCTAGGAGTGGGTGGAGGAGGGTGTCTTATGTGCGTGGCTGGGCAAGCTCCTCACCCCTGCTCACCTGGACATCCTGTTCCACCAGGTTATAGTCAATGATTCCAGAGTAGCTTTCACGGGCCCCCTAGAAGAAACTCTCTCAGGACTCTTTGAGGGGTAGCTTTTTACCTCCAGGACAACCAACCCAAACCAACCAAACCCCTCTCCCCAAAGTCTTCTCTTGTTAATTATACCAAAGCAATGCTCCCCCTCTCCTGCAGGCCAGTCCTCCTCACCATGGCCAGGGCCAGGAGCAGTTCCTGCAAGATGCCGCTGGTCTCACATTTGATGTCCTCCTCAGCCTCCACCTGGAAATCTGGGGTGGGGTCAGGAGCTCTCTGAAGCCTCCCGATTTTTCCCAGTGTAGATATTCCCTGTCAAATGCCCAACCCACTGTGCCCTGCCTATACTGTCATCTCCTGCTGGGGGTAGCCTGATGGCTGCTGGTTCCCAGGATGTAAAGCAGAAGCAACATTATGGCCACCCTGAAAACATCCTTAAGCTGCGAGTAACCTGCGCTGTAGGGTCATGCACCACAGGGAACCAACCTGCTAGGGAAAGGAGGCATCTGTTATTTGAACGCTGGCCAGGCAGTCAAGGGGGATAGGGAAACCTACATCATGAGGCCAGATGGCTAGGGCCTGGCCCCCTCCTTGGAGGCAAGGAGAAGTGATGTGGAAGGATGTGAAGAAGTAAGAGAAAAAGAAAGAAAAGAAGGGTGCCTGGGTGGCTCAGATGGTTAAGCGTCTGCCTTCATCTCAGGTCATGATCCCAGGGTCCTGGGATCGAGTCCCGCATCGGGCTCCCTGCTCCTTGGGAACCTGCTTTTCCCTCTGCTTCTCTCTCTCTCTCTCCCTCTCTCTCTCCCTCTGTCTCTCATGAATAAATAAATAGAATCTTTAAAAAAAATAAAAGAAAGAAAGAAAAGTAAAACAGAAGCAAGAAGTGAGAGGTAGAGGGCACCTGGGTGGCTCAGTCTGCCTTCAGCTCGGGTCACGGTCCCAGGGTCCTGGGATCGAGCCCCGCGTCAGGCTCCCTGCTCAGTGGGGGGCCTGCTTCTCCCTCTCCCTCTCCCCCTGCTTGCGCTCTTTCACTCTCAAATAAATAAAATCTTAAGAAAAAAAAGAAAAAGAAGTGAGAGGTAGGAGAGGGATTAAGAAAAGCCAAGAATGGACATCAAAGGAAAATTAGGGAAAGCAAAAGAGGGGGGAGGTGCTCAGATGAGGATGAGAGAAGGCCAGTTAGCAATTAGTGGGTGAGGCATGTGGCAGTCAAGCAGGGGCCTGAGGGGTAGTACCCATGACTTAGAGAGCAGGTCCCCCACCATTCCCTCCCCCCGCCGGCTGCAACAAGGTTCCATTCAGCCTGGGATGTGGTGTGAGGGCAGAATCAGGAAGGGGCTGGGAAGATGACATGGGTACCCTTGGGATCATCACAGTGCCCGACGTTGTCATTACCTCGGAATCTGCCCTGGAGCCCCAGACTAAGATCATCGCTTCTCTTTCTTTAATGATCACATTGGACTCTCTCCCTGGGGGAGGCAGAACTGGCAAGGGTGGGTGGAGGGGGAGACCCCAAGGGAACAGAGCTGGGGCAGACAGGTTCCCAAAGGGCTTGCCTGTAGGGAGAGCCAGAGAGTGGGCGCTGTCCTGCCATCACTTCCCCCCCTCCTTACGTGCTCTTACTATGTTTGTAGACCATCAGGCACTCCTGCAGCTGGGCTGGGCTTCGGGTGGCAAGAATTTCCACGGCCACATCCTCAGCAGAACCTGAGTTCTACAAGAAATTGGGAGGCCACTCTGACACTGGGCCCTGTCATTAGGATGGCACAGAACAGAGGCCGACCATTGTCCTTTAAAGGTCAATATGGGCTGTTTAAAGGGGGCCCCTGCCAAGTCGACTTCTCTGGAGTGGGCAAAGGCAAGTCAGTCAAACCTCTCCTCCCCTCACTTCCTAGACACCCAGCGAGCCTCCTCTGCTGGTACCTTCAAGGCTGTCCTCAATTCCTGGGCATCGAACTGGGCTGCAGGCTGCAGCAAAGCCATCACAATCCTCTCGAGGTTGCCAGAGAGTGCTGCCTGCAGGGACTTCAGCAGGTCCTACAATAAACGGTCCCCATGGCAGAGGAGCGGGCACCATGGGGAGGGCCCCGGATGTGTGGGGAGCTTTGGGAACATCTGGCTGGTTTTTTCCTAAGGCCAGAAGCACCAGCCATCCCCCCTCAGCTGCTATTGTTGTACTCCAAGTCTTCCAGGGGGCTGCTCACCCCAGTCCGCTGCTCCTGGGAAGTCAGTGGCCTCACCTGTTGGGTGCGCTCCTGGAAGGCTCGAGAGATGAGCTGCCTTTGCTCTCTGCTCCTGTTGGTCAGTACGTCCACAATGGAGCCACGGTCCACACCTGAACCAAGATGAGGGCTGGGCCATCAGCTGGGCGGAACCCAACAGAATCTTTACAGGGCGGGGATCCCCTTCTTCCTTGGGCTTGAAGCCTCCAAAGGGTGTTGCAGCCCCCCTTTGGGCTGCAACACCCCCACTTCCATTCGGCCTCAGGAGAAGATGCAGGGCCGCCTGGGTGGCTCAGTCGGTTAAGCATCCAACTCTTGATTTCAGCTCAGGCCATGATCTCAGGGTGGTGGGTTCTGTGCTCAGCAGGGGTCTGCTGAAGAGTCTCTCCCTCTCTCTCTGCTCCTCCCCCCAGTGCTCCTGAGCACTTTCTCTCTCTCTCTCTCTCAAAAAAAAAAAAAAAAAAAGAATTAAAAAAAGAAGATGCAAATAAGATGCCAAAATGGCATGTGAACCTGACCCAAAATTAGGTGAAGGTGGCCTGGTGTGGTGGAGGAGAAATGGTTTGGTGATTGTCGACTTAGATTAGAGTCCCAGCCCTGCCATTATGAGCTGTGTGACCTTGGGCCAGCCTCTTTGTCTCACCAAGCCTGTTTCCTCATCTGTAAAATGGAAATAAGACTTACCTCACAAGGGTGTCCCGAGAATGGGAATGACATACCTACCATGGTACTTGACATACAAGAATTAAGGCATTCCACAAACATTTATTGAACAACGTCACTTCCTCCTTCCTGGCTCCTTCTTGGTCTGCAGACTGGTTTCTAAAAGGTGGATTCCCCAGGTGCAGAAGGAAAAGGGCTCACCTTGGCCTGCAATGGCCCTCAGCAGCCTTTGCACATCCTTGTCCACGCTGAAGCTCAAGAAGGTCCTGAGGGTGCCCAGGGTTCCCCAAGCTGCAGTCTATAAGAGCATGAGGGGTGGGGGGTTGGGGGGAGCATCACAGGTCCACACACGCCTGCCCCAGTGCCTCAGCATGGCCCTTGGCATGGTCTCAGGGCCTGCTCTCCCTTTTCCCATCCTCCATTCCCTCGCTGCCCTGGAGTTGATATAGTAACAACGATTCCAACGATCACAGCCCCTACCTTGCTGGCAAGGCCCAGGTGGCTGAGGATCTCCTGGGTCAGGGATGACCTTGTCTTCCAGCTGGTCACAGACATGGTATGACTGGCTGTCCCAGGGAGGGAAACAGGAGACAACTGAGGAGAATTTCCTGGCCCTTTGGGCCTCTTTATGACTCCTAGACCCCGAGGCCCACCTCCCATGCCGTTCCTTCCCCATGTTGCAGAAAAAAAAGAACATCAACCTGCTTGTCAGGTTTGGGAGCCCAAATGGAGGGGTAAGGGGAAGTCCCCCTCTTCCCCACCTCTCACCCCTCCTTCAGGAAGCAAGGATTGATGAGGAATGCTGCTAGAATGAGCACCAGACAAACCCTCCCTGACTCCAGGGTGGGTCCCAAGGCTCCCAAACTTTGGTCCCAGGTGGATGACCCCCTTCTGAGATCCAAGTCCCTTCCTTCTGATGGCCTGGCTAGGTGTTCCTGGGGCGGTGCAGGGGAGGTGAGGCGATGTGGCAGGATTAAGTATGTGGGGTGGGAGATAACAACCTCTAAAACACCTCCCCACCTTCAGCCCCAGCCCAGGAGTAAGCCCCTGCCCCCTGCCCACCCGGCTGCCTACCTGCTGCCCGCCTTTCCCCCTTGGAGTCTCTGGCAGTGATCTTCAGCTCAGCAGGTGCGACCTCGGGGCTGATGTATGTGTTCCTTCAGGTACATGGGTGCTTAGACAAGGGAGCAAGCACTCACATTAGAAAAAGAAAACTCCAGGGGTGCCTGGGTGGCTCAGTCGTTGAGCATCTGCCTTCGGCTCAGGTTATGGTCCCGGGGTCCTGGGATCGAGCCCCTGCTCGGCGGGAGGCCTGTTTCTCCCTCTCCCACTCCCCCTGCTTGTGTTCCCTCTCTCACTGTGTCTCTCTCTGTCAAATAAATAAATAAAATCTTAAAAGAAAGAAAAAGAAAACTCCTTTCTCCCTCTCCCAAGGGATCCACAAGCTCTCCCTCCTCCCTTCCCCCCTGAGGGCCCAGGTCCAGTGCTTACCCAGAGGTGCTGGGGGCCAGCGGCAGTCACAGCCTGGCAACTGCCTGTGTGGGCACCAGCTTCTGTGTGGTCGGCCAGAGAAGAGGCGGCGTGTGCCTCCCAGGCCGGGCAGCCAGTCAGATGACCTCTCTAGCAGCCCAGCCCAGCAGTTGCCTGGGCTCCGGCCCCTCCCAAATGTGGGAGAGGACCCAGCAGTACCTGGTCCCACAGGCAAACCCCTCCCTAGCAAGCATCTTTCCTCCCAGGAGCCGGGCCTCAGCCCACAGAGAGAATTCTGCTCAGCCTCTCAGCAGCTCAGCTGGACACAAGAGGCTCGGTGTGTTGCTTTCCCTGTGGGGCTGGCGGGGGGGGGGGGGGGGGGGGGGGGCGACCACAGAAGCCCAGGCTTTAAGTCCAGCTTCTGACCTGGCTCCGCCTCTGGCCCCAGCTCCCTGGGGGGACAGGTCAGACAGGCTCCAGGCTGATTTAGAGGCTGATAGAGAAAAACCTGTTGGGGCACATACCAGCAGGGCACCCCAGTCCGCACCCCAGAGGGGGTCCTAACCCCCAAACTCCCTGACTACTACTACCTTATCAGAGCCTGTCAGCCGGGGTGGGAAGGGTAGGGCAAGAAAGAGCAGGTATTTGAGGGTGGGCGCTGATCAGCAGAGTCAAGAGAGAAAAATGCAAAGGGTGTTCCCTGTGGACAGAAGCATGATGCTCCCAAAAGGCAACAGGGAGATGGGAGAGGCTCCCTGGGTTCCTGTGTCTTAGATTCCTTCTGGTGCCTTTTGGCTGCCAGGACGGTTTTAGCGGTACTGATGCAACCGCTGCAGCTGGGCTTGGGGCTGCCAGTGCACAGAGCAGCAGGTGAGCGAGCAGGTAGCCGCTTGAGCCTCACAGCCAGCTCCCTGGGACCTAGGAGCTGTGTCCTTCCAGCTTCCCTCCAGAGGTCCTGTGGGGGCTGGACACGGAAGCTAGAGAGCTGTTTCCACTCCTCTGCCCCTCTCCCCGCCAAGGAAGGCCCTCGCCGGTTCTCTTACGTCCCTGAGGAGGGACCTGCCCCTCTTCCACAGAGCAGACCAGGCCCCAAGTATGCACGAAGGGGGATTTCCTTGGTGGCGATCACTGCTTCTCACTTTGTCTCCTGTTAAACTGGGAAACATCCACCAATTTTTGCCATGAGAACATGGGTTCAAGCCCCAACTCTGCCACTCGTTCTGTTCTGTAACCTCAGCAAGTCATTTCAGGTCTCTGTGTCTGTTTCTTTACCTGAGAAAAAATGGGACTATTGGGAGAGACTGAAGTGTGTGGAGGGGGCATTCTGGGCACCTGAGAGTAGTCTTCCTGGGAGGACTGAATTAGGTTATATATGTGATGGCATTTGGCAGAGAAAAATGCCTTGTAAAATAAGGCTGCCAGATTTAATAAAAAAAATGCAGGACACCCAGTTAAATTAGAATTTCAGGTAAATGACAAATAATTTGTTGGTATTAAGTCTGACCCAACTATTTCATGGGATATACTTAGGATAACAATCATTTATTGTTTATCTGAAATTGTGATTGAACTGAGCATCCTGTAATTTACCTGGCAACTGGGACGATGGGACTTAGTTCCAGCATGGTGATTAAAAGCAAAAGTTCTGGAGCCAGACTTCTTGGACTCAGAATTCCAGTCTGCTATGTGACTTTAGCAATTACCTCAAACTTTCTTTCTTCTCCTTTTTTTAAGGTTTTATTTGTCAGAGAGAGAGAGAACAAGCAGGGGGAGGGGCAGGCAAAGGGAGAAGCACGTTCCCCACTGAGCAGGGATTCCGATGTGGGACTCAGGTCATGGACCCTGGGATCATGACCTGAGCCGAAGGCAGATGCTTAACCAACTGAGCTGCCCATGCGCCCCTACCTCAACCTTTCTGAGCTCAGTTTCCTCATCTTCGAAACAGAGATAATAATAGTGTTTATATGATAAGCTATTGTGAGAAATAAATTAATACACGTAGAGCACCTTATTTTTTTTAAGATTTTATTTATTTGACAGAGAGAGAGCGCGCACAAGCAGGGGGACGGCGGGTAGAGGAAGAGGGAGAAGCAGGCTCCCCCCTGAGCAGGGAGCCCGATGTGGGGCTCAAGTCCAGGACCCTGAGATCATGACCCGAGCCAAAAGCAGATGCTTAACCAACTGAGCCACCCAGGCGCCCCTTCAGAAGAGTGCTCGCACAGACTAGTAGGTACACATGTCAAAATGTTAACTAATATGTAACAATAAATATTGATATAATGTTATAAGGAACTGTTATTGTTAACTTGTCTCCCTATGGAGTCCCGTCTTGGCTCTCTTCTGCAACCTCTATCTTGCCGATCTTCAATCTGGCCACAGGAGGGCATTAGAAGCCACCGAGAGCCGAATGCCCCCTAGTGGCCACTTGAGGCCTCCGAGGCGCTGGCTCCACCCACAGATAACCCAGGGGCTCCTTTTGCGCCCTTGTTGGGAAGTGCAGTCTCTGGAGGACATCAGGTTCCTAGGTGGACTTGGCAGGCAGGCATGGTCAGCAGAAGAGCCTCAAGGAGACACCTACTCAAGGGACTTCCCCCCACCAATGGGACCTCAAGACACTTGCAGGAGACGTCCTAGGCTGGGTTACCCCAATACAGTGTCTTCGCAAGTCCCATGCCTTTGGCCTTCCACATCCTTCAGAGTCCATTCTGGGCACACATTCCAAGTAGGTTTAGAGGGAAATGAAGGGAGAGGGAGAGGGCTCTTATTTCCCCAGTCCGAACTTCTGCGAGGGATTCCTGGCAGACCAGCAAGGCTGAATCCTGCGTTTGAAGGATGTACGCAGAAGGGCAAACACACAGCAGAAGATCAGTCCTTGTGGTCCAGGAGCGTGAGGAGGAGTACGGGAGATGCTCTACTGAAACTTGGTGGAAACTCACTCCTTTTGTCCTGGCGTTTTGTTTTGTTCAACTCCAGGGCCATATTGAGGTTGTTTTCAAATTTACTAATCACCTTTCACCCCCGTGCTCTAAATTTTATTTTATTTTATTTTATTTTATTTTATTTTTATTTTTTTTTTAAATTTTGTTTATTTATTTGAGAGAGAGAGAATGAGAGATAGAGAGCACGAGAGGGAAGAGGGTCAGAGGGAGAAGCAGACTCCCCACTGAGCGGGGAGCCCGATGCGGGACTCGATCCCGGGACTCCAGGATCATGACCTGAGCCGAAGGCAGTCGCTTAACCAACTGAGCCACCCAGGCGCCCATAAATTTTAGAATTTCAGAGTTGGTGGGGTTCTTGGAGATGACTGGTCTACTCTTTTTTTTTTTTTTTTTTTAAGATTTTACTTATTTATTTGACAGAGAGAGAGACAGCTAGAGAGGGAACACAAGCAGGGGGAGTGGGAGAGGGAGAAACAGTCTTCCCACGGAGCAGGGAGCCCGATGCGGGGCTCGATCCCAAGACCCCGGGATCATAACCTGAGCCGAAGGCAGACACTTAACGACTGAGCCACCCAGGTGCCCGACTAGTCAGTCGGTCTACTCTTATTACTGACTCAGGAGGCAAAGTGACTTCCCAAGGGCCACGGTGTTGGAACCAGATCCAGGTCTCCTAACTTCTCCTGTGCTTTCTTCATTACTTAGATGAGGGCATAGCTGATTTGGGGGGTCTGTCTTAGTGGAGTATATAGGGGACAGGCAGTAATATATAGAGCCTCAACTGTTGACTCATGAATTCGGGTTCAACTCCAACCCCATATTGCTTTTCTGCAAAATCTTGCATTGCATGATTTCAGAACACATAGAAATTCCTCCCTGGCATTTTTCTCTTGTTATGAAACTTTTTCTCCCCAGAACTCCTGGCACCTGAATCCCTCTGCTCACATAGTAGCCATGCTCTACTCCTTTACCCAAATAGGCTTCTGTGTTGCATGAGCCAGCCTGACTTTCCTAAGCTGGGGTCCATGCCTTTTCCTGTCCTCAAAGCCTGCCCAGATACTTAAATCCCAGCTTGAAGGCCTGGTGGTGCCCTCTGCCTCAGGCCACCTCAGCAGCGCATACAGAGGAAGTGAGTCACAGCAAGGCAGG